GCCTGGGGCAGGCAGGGACGCAGTGGCACAGCTCCCCATTCCCTCGGACCCGGGCAGGGCCCGCCCCTCATTGCAGGGGCCTCTCAGCTGGTCCACAGGCTTCTAATCTGTGCTCTACCCCAGTCAGGACACCCGCCCCCCCCTTCCGTGTCAGCAGCTCGTGAGGGCCCAGCCTCCTAGAGAACGCACCGACAAGAGGCCCCAAGTGTGGGCTCCAGGCAGGGCTCTGGGGTGAGCTTCACTGGCTGTGGAACTGGGGGGCACAGGGAGCAGGAGGGGGAGACAGAAGCAGGGGGCCCACGGATGCTCCTTCATCCTTTTGGGGCCAGTATCTGCGGGCCAGTATCTGCCCTGGCTTCCGCCTCCTGCCCTTCTTGGTCAGGGCCCCCAGGGTTCTGTCCTGTGGCTAATTGTTTACCTGCTCCCTTCCCCCGACCCGACTCCTGTTCCTTGTACCTGAAAACCAGGTCTTTGTGGCCAGGTCTTTGTGGTCTCTCCCCAAGGTCTGGGCCATGACTGCTGAGGACACGAGTGAAGGGAAGTGAGTGGACCGTGTTGGATTGCCTTGGATGCATAAGTCTTCATTTTTCTTTCTTTTAATTTATTGACTTTTTAGAGGGGAGAGAGAGAGAGAGACATTGATTTGTTGTCGCACTTAGTTATGCATTCATTGGTTGATGCTTGTATGTGCCCTGACAGGGGATCGAACCTGTAACCTTGGCGCATCAGGACAGCACTCTAACCAACTGCGCCACCTGGCCAGGGCAGCAAAAGTCCACTTGAATGGGACTTTCAGCGCCAAACCAGCAGTGGTTAGGAGGGCTCCTCCAGGAGCTAGGGAACAGACGTACACGTAGCAAGTGCGGAAGCAAAGAAGGGACATTTTTGCTAGGCTAGAGCTAAAAGCCTCATCGGCTGTTTGTGATGGGTTGTCTGTATCGGTTTGATTTCAGAATCTGGAAGCATGCACAGGCTGTGATTCGGGTTGCTTTTGTGGGCCCCCATGCATCAGAGCCCCATCAGTCTAACAGCCCCCTTGTTTCAGTAATTTAACAGCTGACCCCCAAGGGCCTCTGCTGCCCTTGCTTCCCTCCTGAAAAGGTAAGAAATGATGCCCCCAGGAGCCCAGAGCCGGTCGGACGTGCTCCCTCCCAGCAGAGGGCGATGCTAGCCATTTCCTAGGCAGGTGCTGGGCACACTTCCGTCCCCCCCACAGAGGGCTGTGGGGGGTGGGGAGGGCAGTGGGAAGAGGCCTCATCCACCCCTAGGATCCTCTTTAGCCACCGTGTCTTAGAAGTGGTGCCATCATTCTATTCAATGCAAATCACACTCAAAGGAATGGTTGCTGGCCCTTCCTCTTCTCCCCTCTGCACCCTCTGACTGTTCCAGGCCGTGATCGAGATTGGGCTGTGGGTCCGCAGGACATGGGTGGGAGCCCCGACCATATCCAGGGTGGACCCCCCAGGGAAATGCAGCTCCCCTGTCGCAAGGGGAAGACAAAGAAGCCAGGAACAAGGAAAATAAAAGGTATTAAAATAGGCTTAGCTACTTTGGGGTTTTCCTTTGTATGTATTTTTAGCAAGGATTGTGTGCCTAACTCTGCATTAAAATAGCTGATGCCGCCAGCCATTGTTCCAGGCCCTGCACCCCGCAGCCTGGCAGGCTCTCTGCAGCTGGCAGGGCCTGGCCCACCCAAGCTGGGGAGAAGGCGTTCCTTTCCAGGACCCCCCTCCCAGAAACCTCAGCCGCCGGAAAGCAAACAGAAGCAGGGCACTCTGGACCCGACTCAGGGCTGGGGGAGGAAGCCCACGGCAGGCAGCCATGCTGGAGCGCAGCGCCCCCTGCTGACCGAATCCAGCAGAGGGCTGACGTTCCTCCACGGGATGTCCACGCGGGGCAACCCAGGAAGGCAGAGGCCGCGGCCAGCTCTGCTCCGCTCCACCCGGGCTTTCTTTTGAGTACTTTTCCTAGGAGATGGGGGTCAGGGAAGACTTTCTCATCACCAAGTCCTACCTCAAAATGCCTGAACCTGTCACACCCTCCTCTCTGGCCCGCGGGCTAGTGGGGCTCTGATCACTTGGGAGAAGCACGTATGGCTGGAGCGTGGGCGGGGCGCGGGGCGGGGGATCAGAGTGAGAGGTTCATGAGGCAAACTTGCCTTCCGCCCGTCTTGTCCAGGCGGTCAGCAAGCCCCACACGGAGTGGGGCCGATGATCTTGAGCAGGAAGGTCGCCCTAGTGTCCACGAGTGACTTTGGACTGGGGACGACATAGTGTGACGTTGCTGTGTGTAATGCCTTACATTTTTTTAACCCTGGGGACAGTCAGTTATCACTTGAAGTAGCCTGGGCAGCAGCCCAGCCTCCAGAGGTGGCTATGCCAACCCTTCAAGTGCGCGTCTGATGGGTGTTAAAGGGAAATTTTCTTTGGCGAAGTGATTGGCGTTGCAGACGTGAGATTGGCTGGAAGCCTGAGCAGGCTCTTCGGACGTGAAGGACGAGTAAAACCTGGTCCTCCGAGTCCAGAATCCTCCGGGTTCCTGCGGTCCCCCCTGGGGGCCGATCCTGTAGGCTGATACCACGGAACACAGTTGCACTTGCTTCCGGGCACCCTTGCTTGCAAGATGTGTGTCCGAAACCGCGGACCTTGCTGTAGGGCAGCAGCAGTGACCTCGTGCAGGTCAACTTAGCTCTGAGCTACACTTCCGCTTGTAGATTGAAGATGACGATAACCTTTCAAGGGTTGTGAGGCATCTAGTTGCTTTCTAGGGTCAAGTTTCTGCTGCAGCGCCCTCCCGCAGCGTGGCCCAACCAAGGTCAGAAGTGGCGTCCTGACACGGTCAGGGCCCCGGCTCTGGCTCCGGCTCGGATTCCGGTTCCCAGGAGGGCAGATGTGGCCCTCGCTCTCGGGGCTACGCCTCCCGAGCCTGGGTGCTCCCAGCGCCGCCTTCCCTTCCTCCCCCGCTCGCTAATCGCGGACATCTGGCGGCCGGCTGGCCCACTCCATTCCCTCCGTCACCCCGGCTCCGGGAAGCAGGGATCTGGCGCGCTCGGTTGTGTCGCAGCCGCAGGGTCCGCCTCTTGCCCCGAGCGCGTCGCTTCCCAGGGCGCCCGCCAGCTCTCTGGGTGGCAGCTGCCGCCTCCCACGGAGGGGGACCAGTCCGGGAGGCCCCGGGGCTGCCTCTCGGCCCCGCGGCCGCAGGCCTGCGGAGAACAGCCGGCCGCGCGCAGCAGCTCCCCCTCCCGGCATTGAACTTGGCCCTTGCCCCTCCCCCAGCACTTAAAGCAGCTGCCAGGAACTGAAATATTAATAGGCACAAACAAACTTCCTGGAAAGATTTTCGACTCCGAGATAGACGACTCCGCCTTCCTCCATCAAAATAAAGAAATGAAAGACAGCGGCGGGGTCGGCCGGCGGGGGAGCCTGGGACGCAAGCGGCGGAGGGCCGCTAGGGGCGGCGCTCCGAGCGGTCCGCGGGCGCCCAGGGAAGGGCTCCCCTTTGTAAGCGCAGCCCGGGGGCGCGCACCTGGGCACGCGCCCGCTCCCCCTGCCCCGCGCGCCCGCGCCGAGCAGCCCCGGGTCCCGAGGCCGCGCTCCCGGCCCTGAGCGGCCGTGGTCTAGGCCCACACAGACCCCGGAGGCGGGCCAGCGGCGGAGACCAGGGGATTTACGCGCTGCCGTGCGTCCTCCGCCATCCTCCGCAGCCTCGCCGCCCACCACAGTCCCTTTTCGGGGGCGGCGCGTCCCGCGGGGTTGGGAACCGCGCGGTCACATGACGCGCGCGCGCCTCTTCCCGGGACAAAGCGCCACCAGCCCTCCACGTTCCGCTGTGGGGGCACTTATCACTTCGGATCCTCAAAACAAGTCCACCCCCCACCCCACCTCCTTGCACTTTGAAAATGCGATTTGCATTTTGGAGTATTGGCATTCGTGCCTCCCGGGCCGGGGGCAGCTGTAGCGAGGGGAGCCAATCCGCCTCTCTCCTGGCCTCCCGTGAGGCGACAGGCTGGGAAGCGCCGCTCCGCTCGCTGCTTTCCCGGGCGCCGCGGTCCTCGCGCCCTCTCCCGCAATTCAGACAGAAAGTTCCAGCGCGGAAGGTTTCGACGCCCACCCCAGACCACTCCACTGCCCCCGCCCTCCTGGGGCTCCCCGGCCCCAGCTTCAGGCTTCTGAAGACAGCAGCTGCGCCGGGGTTTGCTCCACCTCTTCTGCCTGCTTGGAAGCCATTCGTTCATTCCTTCATTTATTTACTGAGCGTCTAAGAAGTTCCAGGCACTATCCAGACAGTGGGGTTAGAACAGCAAAAGCAAACACACGAACCTCTCCCTCCCCGGAGCTTATACTGTAGTAGAAGAGGCAGAACGGACGTAAAATTTATTAGATGGTAATAAGGAGAGAACGGAAGGAGGCTAGGAAATGTGCATTCGGGAGAAGTGGGGTTTGGGCAGATCGGGAAAGCCTCACTGAGAGGTCGACAGTGAGTTTTGGATAAAGGCCCGAGGGAACCGAGTGAGCCAGCCACGCAAATTTCTGGCGACCTACTGTGTTCCCGAGCATCCTGGAGGCCAGCGTGGAGGAGGCGCCCAGGAGAACGTGGGGATGGAGAGGGCAGGGTCAGCTGTTGGAGCGCCTTACGGGGCACTGCAAGGACTTGGGCCCGTCTCCTGCGTGACATGGAGTCCTGCAGGGCTCCGAGCAGAGGAAGAACCCGGCCGACTTCGCTTCCAAGCAGCCCCCTGGTTGGTGAACAGATTGCGGGGGCAGGGCCAGAGCGGCGAAACCAGTCCCGAGGCTCCGGCCGTAACTCCCGGAGATGATGGGGCGTGGCTTAGGCTGGTAGACGCGGAGGTGGCAAGAAGTGGTGGGATGTTGGAAATACTTTTTAGGCTCCATCGCCAGGCCAGATACGAGGAAGGAGAGAGAGAGAATAATAGTCAAGGAGAGTACCAAGGTCGGCCTGGGCGGCAGAAGAAAGAGCAGCTGTTACCCGAGACGGGGAAACTGGCTTTGCAGGTTTGGTGGGTGGGGTCAGCCTCTCTCTGGGGCGCAGTTTTGAACAGGGTACGTGGGAGCCGCTCATTCCACAGCCAGGTGCGGGGCTGAGTAGGCACTTGTTCGACGGGTCTGCAGAGCAGAGGTAAATATGGGAAATCGTCGGCACGAGTGTACTGGTATGAAGACGCACACTTTTCGGGTATTTATCTAGCTTCGTGCTGTGCGACGCAGTAGCCACCGGCCCCAGGGGGCCGCTGAGCACTTGCAATTAGTGGAAAATGTGCAGCTGAAGAACTCAGTGTTAATTAACTTGAAATTTAAAAACTGCTCCTTGATCCACCTCTTGGAAAAAATTTCAGGATGTTTGCAACAATGTGGTTATGCGAATCGACTTTTTCAATTGTGGAGCTTATCAAGCTAAAAACAGATCGAGAATTTCCAATAAAAATTCGGTGTCCAATCTGAGATCTGCTGTGCCAAATATACATTTGGGTTTCCAGGATTTAGTCCCCCAAAAGTAAAATATCTCACTAATAATTTCTATATCCATTACACGTTTACATGGTACTATTTCGCTCTATTGGGTTAGTAAAATTGTATTAAAATTTTCTGCCCTGGCTGGTGTGGCTCAGGATTGAGTGCCGGCCTGGGAACCAAAGGGTCACCAGTTCAATTCCCAGTCAGGGCCCCAGTTGGGGCACATGAGAGGCAACTGCACATTGACGTTTCTCTCCCTCTCTTTCGCCCACCCTTCCCCTCTCTCTAAAAGTAAATAAAATTTTTAAATTTTTTTCTTAAAGATGTTATTTATTTTCAGAGAAAGTAGAAAGGAAGGAGAAAGAGAGGGAGAGAAACATCAGTTGCCACACCAGCCAGGGCTGGTATTAAAACTACCTGTTTTTCCTTTTACTCTCTTAAAAATGGCTACCCAGCAGGTTTTAGTTCCCCAAATGGTTCATATTAAATGTCTTGGATAGCGCCCATCTAGGGGGACCCGTGGATTGAAGCCGGGGAGGTGGGGAGGACCCAGCAGGAAGCCTGGGAAGGAGCAGAGAGGGGAGGAAAACGGGGCAGGTGTGTCCCCGCGGCCCCTCAGAGGGGGTGTGGCCAGGAGAAGGGAGTATCAGGAAGCAAAGAAACACAGTGTTGCTCCTTCCAGGAGCCCAGGAAGGAGCGGCTTTATGGACTTCGAACCTGAGCCACAAGCAGATTCGAGAAGAGTCACCGTTTCTTAAGTAACTCACCATGTTGAGAAACGTTTCTAGACATTGTACATCTATTTTTATAACTATTGAATCATGTTGTACACATTGTGTAATTCACTCATCTCCAGGATGCCATTCAGTGAATTTTTAGCAAATTTAGCAAGCTGTGCAAACATCAGCATAAGTCAGTTTCAAACTATTTCCATTACCCCAGTAAGACCCCTCACGCCCATTTACTGTGCCTACCCTGCCCCCGCCAACCTCGACTCTCCTCGTGGTCTCTACAGTTTGCCTTTCCCGGGTGTTTCGTAGAAACGGAACCACCCAACATACAGTGCGTCTCACTTCTCTGAGGCTCAGCTCCTCCTTCCTTTTTCATTGCTGAGTAGTATTCCGCTGTGTGGCTATACCCCCTTCGGTCCGTTCACTCCCAGTTGATGGACATTTAGGTACTTTCCACTTCTTGGCTGTTAGGAATAATGCTGTTCAGAACATGTGTGTGTAGATACTTTACATCTGTTACGTCTAATCCTCACGGTCCTGTGAGGGTGAAATTGTCATCCTTACTTTATAGATGAAAATACTGAGGATGATAGAGATCAAGTCTCTGAGGGCACACAGCTACCATTCTTCATCAGCACTGGAAAATACTTTTTTCCGTATTTTCATGCTTCTGAAACCAGGATGCATCTTACAGTCAATGGTTTGTCAGAGTTTATTTGGCAGCCTCTTCCCCTTCCTTGGTAGTATGTAAACGCCAGTATATTTTTCAGTCAAGGGCACCCTAAATGTGGTGAGCTATGGTACGATGTGGCTGACCCTAGTGGCTCCCTTACAGTTCACCTTGTGTTGTCAGGACACTTGATTGTAGGGGACAGATAAGGGGCTCAAAGGGGGATTTACTGGTTCGGCAGTTGGAAGGGTCCTAGGAATAGGTCATCGGGTTGAAGGAAGAGCTGCAGGGACTCTGACTCCGTGAGGTCACCGTCCATCTTTCATCTCCGCTTGTCCTTGCCAACAGGCTCTCTTCCTCCACGGGGCAACCCCAGCTTAATAGTTCTGCGGGTAAAACACCTCCACCCCATCTCTCCCTCCCTCTGCCCATCAGCCCTAGGGAGCAATTCCGATTGGCCCCGGTTTGGCCACATAACCACCTCTGGTCCAATCACTGTGGTCTGAGGGAGGGATACTGCGTAGTCCAGGCCCGGCTGGCATGCTCTTCCTTGTGGCCAGAAAGTCAGTCACCAGCAGAAGGGGGGTAGGAGTGGGTGAGCTGGGCACCACCACCACCATTGCCCCCTCGGGCCACTACCACTTGGCGTCACCTGGGGTCCCTGCAGACGTTACAGACTAGGGGGGGTTTTAGAAAGAACATCTCAGGTTTACGGTTCATTCATTCCGTTGTGAGGTGATGTTCTAAAGAGGTTAATTATGATTGCAAGAACTATGTTGTTTGAAGGATTTAATAAAGTAATGAAATATGCATGTAATATACTACTAGATGTAATTATGCTTAAACTTCTCATCAAGTAAGGATTTGTTTGCAGACAGTTCTCTAATAAAAACAAGAAAAAAATCATTTAGGATACTAAACCTGTGAATTTACCACGTTGAATTTAAGCCGCGAAGTACGGGCTTAGGCAGGGATATCAAACTCATTTCCACCGGGGGCCACGTCAGCCTCGCAGTTGCCTTCAAAAGGCTAAATGTAATTTAGGACTGTGTAAATGTAACTCCTCCTTAACAGTGAAGCGAGAGCTCAGCACTGCCACCAGGTAGAAACAAGGTGCCGTGCGGATACAACAAGGTGGAGGGCCGGGTTCTGCCCTCGGGCCTGGTGTTTGCCACCTGGGCCCTGGGGCTTACGTGTAGCTCTCCCTTGAAACTGTGTACCATCTCTCTGGCCGCCCCCGCCCATAAGGATCAGACACTTCCTGTCTCCACCCTTCGCCTCCTTTCCCTTCCTCTGACCCCCATCTCCAGCCATCCAAACCTCACTTTCAACATAATGCCAGTGTCTCTGCAGAGTCTTCCTGAGAGTTCCATGGGAAGGGAAGTTCTTCCTCTCCTGGGTTCCCACGTCCCCTTTGCCGGGACGAATTGGACGGCGCCCTGCGAGGAGAGCTCAGGGCGGGACAACTTCCTGAGTGTTAGTTGTGTTTTCCCTCCCTGTGTTCTCATCCCCCCCCCTTTTTTTTAATGTTTGTAAATCACATATCTTTTTTTAAATATTTTATTTTTATTTTTAAAAAGATTTTATTTATTTATTTTTAGAAAGGGAAGGGAGGGAGAGAGAGAGAGAGAGAGAGAGATAAACATCAATGTGCAGTTGCTGGGGGTCATGGCGTGCAACCCAGGCATGTGCCCTGACTGGGAATCGAACCTGCAACACTTTGGTTCGCAGCCATGCTCAATCCACTGAGCTACTCCAGCCAGGGCTTTTATTTTATTTTTAGAGAGGGAAAGGAGGGAGACTAAGAGAGAGAGAGAGAGAGAAACATCAATGTGCGGTTGCTGGAGGTTATGGCCTGCAACCCAGGCATGTACCCTGACTGGGAATCAAACCTGCGACTCTTGGGTTCGCAGCCCACGCTCAATCCACTGAGCTACGCCAGCCAGGGCTCATCTTCCCCTTTTAGGGAGCAGCCAGGTTCTCCCTTGTGCTTGACTCAGGGACAGTGAAATCACGGGGCTTGAGACACTTACTGCCAGTATTATGTGGGCAGAGGCTAAGCTGCTTCAATGGTGATACCCAAAAATACAGTCATTCAAACAAGATAACAGTGTCTTTCTGTTGCAGGCACCAACCCAGAGGCGGACGGCGGTGGTTCAAGATGGAGAAGCTGCTGTGCTCCGCAGGGTCGCTCAGGGACCCAGGTTTCCTCTGTGCTGTCGCTGTCCCTCATCTCCTACTGTTATCCTCTCCCGCACGGCTGCAGCTGGGACAGCATCTCATCTGTGTCCCAGTGCGAAAAGGGGCGAGTTCAGCGAAGCCCATGCCCAGGGTTCTATGGCCAAGGCTTAGAAGTTGAACACATCACTTCCACTCGCAGACCGTTGCCTGGAATTAAATCTCAAGGATACATCTAGCTGCAAGGAATGCTGGGAAATGTAGTCTTCAGCTAAAGCACATGTCCTAATCTAACACTCAATAATTATAGAGGAAGGGGAGAAGATATCTGGAGGCATAACTAGCAAATTATCACATTCTTTTTTCTGGCTTTAGTTTTCCCAAAACGGGTGTCACTAAAGACATTATGCTGGGTGCTCCAGGGGTGGGGAGAGGTGACAAGCAGTAAGACGCAGAGGAGGGAGTCTGCGGTGGGAGGAGGAGCCTGTCCACTGCCCTGCTGCTGGGTAATAAAGCGCCCGAAGGCTGTGTTCAACAGTGACACCACTTCCTTTGCTGTTTGGGTGGCCTTTGGGGGGGACAGCTTGTCTGCTCCGTTCAGCATCAGCGTGGCCTTGGACTCAGTGTCTGGGGCTGGGACCCCCGGGGCTCGCTCACGGGCCTGGTGGATGCTGGCTGTTGGCTGGCACCGCAGCTGCGGCTGGGGCCCAGGCATCCGCACTTGGCCTTTCTGTGTGGCTGCTTGGCTTTCCGAGGGTATGGGGCTTGGGTTCCGAGAGAGAGAGAGAGAGAGAGAGAGAGAGAGAGAGAGAGAGAGAGAGAGAGAGAGAGAGGGAGGGAGGGAGGGAGGGAGGGAGGGAGGGAGGGAGAGAGGGAGAGGAAGGGAGAGGGAGGGGGAGAGAGAGAGAGAGAGAGCGCTCCGAGCAGAAGCTTCTTGCCTTTTTTTTTTTTAAAGATTTTATTTATTTATTTTTGGGAAGGGAGGGAGAGAGAGAGAGAGAGAGAAATATCAATGTGTGGTTGCTGGGGGGTTATGGCCTGCAACCCAGGCATGTGCCCTGACTAGGAATCGAACCCGCGATGCTTTGGTTCGCAGCCCGTGCTCAATCCACTGAGCTACGCCAGCCAGGGCCTTTTCTAATCTAGCCTCAGAAGTCATGCAGCATCCCTTCGGCCACGTTCTATTCACTGGAAGCAGGTTGCCAAGGATGGCCCAAGTTCAAGGGGAGGGGAACGAGACCCCACGCTTTAGTGGGGAGAGTGGTTGAGAATTTGGGGACCTGCTGCAAAACCCCCGCAGCTCCTGGGGGGTCTACTTGCCGTCAGGGCCTGGAGAGGGGGCAGGACTTCAGAAGGCTGGCGGCTTATAACACCAGGGAAGGCAGCTCCTGCAGGTGGGAGCCCCCGCTTCCTAAGTGGCTTAGAAGCAGCAGAACCTCCAGACCTGTAGGGGCCACGTGGGCTGTGGTCCCGGGAGTCCCAGCTGCCAGCGCCACAGACCTATGACCAAATCGGAGACCCTATGACACCTGTGCACTTCAGACAACCCCGTGACCCTGGGAGGGGTGTGTGCTGGGCTGCCTTCCCCAGCAAGTCCCGGCGAGTCCAATGTAAACCGACTCAAAAAACAAGGGGACCCACTTCTAGGTATTTGCTCTGGAGAAACGAACACCATATTCACACAGAAGCCTTACATGCATGTTGACAGCAACTCTAATAAGTCATCGAACACTAGAAACAACTGTTCTTCAGCGAGTGAGTGGAAAAACAAGCTGACGTCCACCCAGAGCACGGAACCCTGATAAAATGAACTATGGTACACGTGACCTGGAGAATCACAAAGATACTATGCCGAGTGGAAGAAGCTAATATTGGAAGTTTCACACTGTTGGAGTCCATTTGTGGCATGTGTTCCGTTTATATGGCGTTGTGGAAAAGGCACGATTCTAGGGACGGAGAACAGACCAGTGTCTGCCCGGGGTTAGAGGCCAGGAAGAGAGTCGAACCCCGATGGGGAACACGAGGGAATTTGGGAGGAGGATGACGCCGTTTTGTGTCTGACTGCGGTGATGGTCACCTGAAGCTAACTAAACAAAGGTTAGAGCTCTCAGAAGTGCACTCGCACACACACACACACACACACACACTCACACACTCTCAAAAGGGTCCATTTGTACCATTTGTAAATTTAAAAACTAAAATATAATGATGCTTTCAACCAATGGCGCTGCAAAAGAAAGTGACTACAGAGCGGACCCTTCACCAACGTGAACTCTGAATGGATCACAGACCGAGATGTCGAAAGTGAAATTACATGACATTCCTGGAAGATAATAACACAGAAGAAAATCTGGGTGCCCTTGGGCACGGCGAGGACTTCCTGGCTGCGACGTCCGCTGCCAGCTCACCCCGTGGCGTGGCCAGGGGAGCCCGGCTGGGGCAGCGGGCTCGGAGGACGCGAGATGTGGGAGCAGGTGACTCAGACGCCTTTGGCAGCCACTGTTGCTTCGTGGCCTCTTTTCCCCGTCACCCCAGGACGTCACAGAACGTCCCTGGGGTCAGCGGACTGAGAAGGAGGAACACGGTCAGGTCTGCTCTACAGATGGTTCTGCACAGCATGCTGACGCCAGCCCAAGTGGACGGCTGCAGCCCTGCGGCCCCACTCCAGGGCGGCCCTGCAGGCCAGGGGGAAGGGGAGTCTTCCCGGTGGGCAGAACTTCAGGGGCACATCTGTGCCTCCGCCTGGACGGAGAGATGGCAGGAAGTGTGCCCCCAGACAGATGGGTTGGCAGGGGCTGTCTGGGAGCCGGGGGAAGCAGAGGTGGCTCCCCCGTGTCACAAAGCGGCACCAGCACAGGGCACTTCCCGGCCTCGGCAGGACTCTGGTCACTGTGGCTGGGACAAAACTACCGACTGAAGCTGAGGGAGGGTCCCTGTTCGTGCTTATGATGCCTCACGAAACCTGGCTAGTACCCATGACGGTCCTTGATGATCGAAATTCATTCTGCCAACGTTGAAGTCAAGACCCATCTTATCATTCTGCCTCTGGCCCTTCATACCTGGGGGACAAGGGCCTGTCATTGCATGGCTCCAAGCTTCAGCTTCCTGATTGCTTAAACAGGGAAAACGATACTTGTTCCTCAGGATCACTCTGATGGTATGAGAATACGAGCTTAGCGTGGCGCTTGGCACAGGGAGAAGAAGATATTCAAAAACATCTGTTCGCCTTGCATACGAAGCCAAATATCCCCCTTTAAACTGTTTGTCAACCATTTTCAACATTAAGTGCCAGGGTCCCTGGAAATTTGGGGCAAAGCAGTTTTTTCTGTTCCTTCTGCAGAAAGCTTTATTGTTTCCATTTGGTCCAAGGCCTGGGAGAGGTTTTGGGGTGGTGAGAGGCTGCCTAGTGGTTGCAGGGAGAGGCTCAGGCAGGAGCCAGACCCCAGGGGGATGCAGAGGGGCCTCTCAAAGGCCTCTAAGCTCCACAGGCTCCTGGTGGTGCTCGAGGGTGAGCCTTTGGAAGACACGCTCGCCCAGCCCAGCCTGGGCGCTGGCAGCCTGCGGAGGGAGCCAGGTGTCTTCCACTTCGTGATGGGTCTCACCTGCTCACCCAGGACGTGGTTCTCCAGGAAGTCAGGGCTCGGGGTCTGCGTGGGCAGGACGCAGGGCCTGCAGGTCCACGGGGGCCTGGGTCGGGCTCTTCTCCAGGCTCACAGCAGATTCCACGGCACCCTGAGTGTCACCCCACTCATCGTGGAACGGCCTCTGCACGTGCTGGAGGAGGGCACATCCACCTCGCTGGTTTTGCAGCTTTAAGAGATGGTGGGTGCTCTGAGCGTCTCCTCGGCCAACTTCCAGAAGAAGTGGCCCCGCCCTGCAGCCCACATCGTCGTGGTGGAAACAGAAGCCCAGGGAGAGGTAGGTGTGGGAGGCCCACAGGTGCAGGGTCAGAGGCTGACCGGGCGGAGGACGGGGCCTCCACCTGCGTGGCATGACTCTGACGAGTCTGGGAGCTCCTGGTTGCTCAGCGATAAGGAGTGAAGCTCAAAAAACGACGTTGGCTGATCTGGGTTGGCATCAAAGGTGGCGACTGGAAAAAAGATTGGCAGGTAGGGGTGGTCAGACGCTGTAAGAGGGGGCGTCCCCGGTCTGTTCTGTCCAGACACTGTCGAAGCAGGAAACGGATGGAGGGGACTGCGGCGGGCACTGAAAGCTATTGTTCTTTATTCCTCAAGTGTGGGACAGCTGGTGGTCTTCCTAAGTGACCCCCCCCAAAACAAGTGGGAGGGAGGAGGGGCTCTGGGGAGGCCCCAGGTAGAACCTAGCTGAAATCCCCAGGAGAGGAGGTACCGTCCTCTCGCTGGATGTGCTGGGGAAAGGTCTCAGATTTATTAAACGGTTCTGTTAAAACTTCTGGGGAGGGTTCTGGCTGGTGTAGCTCAGTGGATTGAGCGTGGGCCTGCAGACCAAAGGGTTGCTGCTTCAATTCCCAGTTAGGGCACATGCCTTGGTTGTGGGCCTGGTCCCCAGTAGAGGGTGTGCCAGAGGCAACCACACATTGATGTTTCTCTCCCTCTTTCTTCTTCCCTTCCCCTCTCTCTAAAAATAAAAATAAATAAAATCTTAAAAAAAAAACTTCTGGGGAGGGGCTACGGGCCTGGGTATTTGTTCTGGGGGCCCCCTCCCCAGGCGTCCCCCAGGCTGCTCCCCGGTCAACGGGAGAGGCTGAGAGGGCCTTGAAGGGGACTTCGGGAGAGAGCCCCCATCCAGACTGATGCGGGTCATCTAAACACCCTTCCGCCTCTGGCGTTCCCAAGACCTCACTCCTCCAGCACCCAGATTCCCCTTTTCCCAGCGGGGGCAGCTCCTGGGGCATTTCGGTGACCTCAGAACTGACCCTCTGGAACAGCCCCACGGGACGGGTACTTAAGTAAAACCTGATTCTGAAGCCTCCCTGGGCGTCTCTGGCCCTGACCTGCACAAACCCTGCTCAGCACGACGCCGTCAGAAGGGGCCTTCCAGCCCCTTCGCGCAGCGCTGGCCTCCCGCCCCTCAGTGTCCCCTAAGGACGTGGCTCCCTAGGGTTGGGGACCACCTGGTCATTTTTTCTCCCATCCTTTCACCAGGAGGACTGGGAATCCGGTGGCCAGAGGCGGCTGGGGGCGCAGCAACTAGCCGCGTGGAGGCCCACGGCTCCCCGGCCGGCCTCAGCAGGTCCGGCTGGTGTGAAGTCCGAGGCCCACCTCCGCGGGGCAGGAGGGACGGGGCCGCAAAGACAAGTTGCGGGCGCAGCCGACCAGGAACTACCGCTCCCTCAGAGCTGCGGCGAGAATTAGCGCAGTATTTGCATGTTAATGGGCTCTCCGTTCATAAATATTACATTGTCAGCCATCTACTCGGGAGGCAGCTGAGCGCGAGCCAGCTTTGTTTTCCAGAGGGCCACGTGTAGCCCCTCGCCAGGCTGCGCGGCACCTTCAGGCGGCCACGCGGCCTGGCCGAGCCCGGGGAGGCCCGCAGCTCGCAGCCCACCGCCGCCCGGCA